TCAAGTTACGAATTAATTCAGTGGCATAATTTAGAAAACAATTTTCTTCGCTTTCTTAGTTTTACTAAATGTTCTCCTATTAGTAATAATGCTAGTAACAATACTGTCTTAATGACAATAAAACTTTAGTATCTTATAGATATATAATATATTTGTTTACATTCAAATTTCATACAAATGATTTACTTCAATTTTTTTACTTATATTTTAATAAAAATGTAGTTACGAATGTATATATTAAATTCTCTAACAGTTAACTGTTTTAAAAATTATTTTCAGGTATTGGACATCCCGCCATTCTAGGATATTAATTAATTAATTAATTGCAGCTTATATGTTTATATATCTATATTTGTAATAAAATGCATGCACGTATTATAAGATTATATTTAACAAATTTTGGTTTTTGTCGACATAGATAAACCAAAATGTTTTGTACTCTTTGAACAATGGTATCATGAATACATGAATTTGATTAAAAAAGTGTGGATACAGAAAATTCGAGATAAGTCGAATGGGTACCCTCATATTAGCGGGATTATAATAATTAAAATGTTTAGCCTGAAATATATACAGGAAATATTGTCACATTTTATATAATAATTATTTCAATATAAAATAATAGAAGATAATTCTTTAAAATCCCACTATTATTGGGTTCGGCTCATCTCGAACAGTTGGTACCCGAGAAACTTTGTATCCACACATATAAAACATTACAGTAATACGTGTATTTTATTATTATTAAATATATTTCTTCGTAACTACTATTCAACAAGAAAATCATTCTATCCATTCATTTTTAATAAAAGATTACAATTTTTAGTAATGGCGGAACATATATTTTCTCGTATAAACATTTTAATATAATGTTAAATAAGATGCGATAAAAATGGTAATTGTAATTGACACGCTGCTAAAATTATCACATAAACGGTCAGGAAAATTCGAGTTTCACACCTGTAACAAAATCTCATAACAAGACCGTCGCTGTTTGACGGATTGCTTAACTTTTCTTTGCGAATAGATTTTATGAATTTGACGTAGAAACGAAATGTATTAAATTCGCTCCCTACTATGAAGATTTTTCTTTTTTGTATCGTATATTAACCAGCGCGCATCACAAGATAAATAAACTAGAAGAAGAAAGCCATTTTACGGTCGAAGCTGGATCACAGTGCTTATTATAATTGTGTGAATTTTATATACTGCGTATGTAGTCCCCCCATAAATCGCGACGCTGATAGTTTTTCAGCATTTCAAAATATTCTAGCATTTGTTAAATCACGTCGCGATTTATGGGGGGACTATATACGCAGTATATAAAATTCACACAATTATAATAAGCTCTGTGATATCCAGCTTCGACCGTAAAATGGCTTTCTTCTTCTAGTTTATTATTGTTTATCAATTGTCTTAAAAATATTCTAGTATTTGACAAGATAAATATATTAAATTTTATTAGATTATACTTAATAAATTTTATAATAAGTCAACAGTTATAAAAATAAATACGATTCAATTACTGCTAATATTTAATAAATTTCATTTGTAAGTATTTTTCTAGAAGCTATACATTTGATAAAATTATGTGTTCTTATACGTATTTTCGACGTTTTCGTGTGTAATCCCATTTTATTATATAATAATGTAATTTTTTAATTATGTTCTCTCTTAATATATGATTTTTCATGTATTTTGAACAGCATTTATATTGTATTGTATATTATAATTGTAAATATTATTATTATTATATATTGTCGCCGTTATTGTAATATACACATAGTTATTGTACATATATTATAATTATTAATGTATTAAATTAAATAAAGTATTATATCCAAAGATAGCATTGTATTCAAGTTGTATATAAAAAATAAAAAAAAATAAAACTAAAAAATTAAAATATAAAACAATTATACTTATCTGCAAAAACAGGCTGTTGTTACGATGGTCCGTTTTTTACGAGTAAGTATATTAATTTATAAAGAAAAGAGGACCGCCGATAAAATCGACGGGGGTGGTGGAGGGCCTCTCTAGCTCGTTTTTGCTAAATAAAACCTTAATCTGTCACACACAATATATAATTGGAAAAGTTTTAAATATATTCAAAATCTCTATGTAATTACTAATAACTATATATATTTAGTAAAAACGGGCTAAGTTAACATTTGATTGTCTGTCTTTGTTTGTCTAACGGATCGATAATTCATGGACATAGGGAAGATTCGAACCAAAAAATCGTGGACATTACCGACACGATCGTGGACATTACCGACACGATCGTGGACATTGGCTACATAGTTCAATGTCCACGTTTTGTGGACATAGAGGCGCTTTAAAATAAAGTACAGTTAAATCCGAGCATGGCCGCTCTCAGGTTTCTCTCTGGTTGTAGCTCTAGATTTGAATATTTCGATTCTTGAGGCAAAGTTTTTTTTCTTGTGATTGTATTTTTACGCGAAAACGCATTGAATGACTATGTTTTTATCAAAATTTGTGGTAGAAAGAGTATATTCTTAATTAACATTTATCTTCATTGATTTAAATTTTGGTTCCACGCCGCATTAAGTTGGTTAGGTGCTTTTATGCTTTGGTGGAAACTATTGTAAATCACTGTGTGTGTTCCCAAGCTCACACCGTGGCGAAAAAGAGCACGATTTCTTGTTGAGATTCGTTGAATTTGACATCATGCAGGCAAGTGGTCATTCAAACATACAATTGTTTTCACATTATCTATTTTGAACACGGACATAAAAGTGGGTACATACACTTGATTTAATAATTCTTTCTAAAAACTTAACAGCTTGGATGATTTTGACATATGTTATCAAGACCATGACTTTGAATAACTTTTGCTTTAATATTTAGGCGGTGGTTTTTTATAATTTTTAAGGTATTTATAAAAAAAATTATTATGTCGTAAACTAGTTCATTTAGTAATGCAAATATTTAATATATGAGATTTAATATAAGTGTATATGTGTGTAAACTACAGTATGCAATATTTAAATTAAATAATTAATTACGACAGATCGTCACCTAGTTAAAGTGAAATTGCTTAAAGTAAAATTATAGTTTTGACAACATATGTAAAGCTGATTCTACAATAAGTCTGTAGTTGGAAGTCTTAATCTTAATCGGTGAAGTTGGCTATTGGTCAACTTTACCGATAAAACTTAGAATTACTGACTATTGACTCATTGTAGAATCAGCATCAAAATTGAGGTCTGATATTGTATAAATTGTTCTTGTAATTCTTTGTGTAAGTTTTTGCAAAGAATTACCCTCAATTTTACACATGATACAATTAGAAGTAAACATCTTGTCAGATTTCATCAATATATTTCTTCATATTATTTTTAAAATTTAATATTTTTCCTTCTTTATTATTGAATTTTATTTAATTAATTTTTTGACATATAAATAATTATTCACATGTACAATTAAAGGAACAGAATATCCCAATCAACATTAATGCTGGAAAGTTACTAGATTGGCTGATTAATCGGAGACACTGCAAGAAGGATTGGCACATGAATATTTTGACAATTAGGCAGAAAATTAATAATGCGATACAAAATATGCCTGCTCATGATGGCATTGCCTCATTGTTGTCTGGTGCTTGTAAGCTGTATCAATTATTTATAGTTCTGTTTCATGATTTTTCAAACATATACATGGTTACAGACTTCTGACTTTGTCTTTTTCAGATATAAATTATTTTTACTGTGTGAAAATTGTAGAAATTTTGAAGCAAACAGAAGCAGATACAAAAAATTTATTTGGGAGTTATGGCTCACAAAGAATGAAAGATTGGCAGGAGATTTTAAGATTGTATGAAAAAGATAACATATATCTTGCCGAAGCCGCACAGATTCTTATAAGAAATTTTAATTATGAGATTTCTAGTATTAAGAAACAGATACAGAAGTTAGAACAATTGTTAACTGTAAATTGATTTAAATAATATGTAATGTTATTTTTACTTATTTGCACATAATAAATATATATAAAATTATATTGGCAGGAATTGGAAAAGAAAGAAGCAGAATATAAAAAATCGGAAAATATTGCACATATGGAATACAATGTACTATGCAAACAATTAGGTATAACTGATTATAGTACGATAAGACAAGAGTTAATGGATAAGGTGAAAGAATTGCCAGAAATTTATCAGAAAATAGCAGAGAAAACAAAGCGCTTGGACAAAGTTGTAGAGTTTTATAGTGCATTTGTTGAATTTACTTTTAACCAGCAATGTGACAATGACTGTGTATCGATAATTAAATACATTATTGGTATGTTTGTAAAACATTTTGAAGAATGTATTGTAACACTTGAATAAGAAGCATGTACGATAGTGTTAAATTGTTTTTTTTTTTTTATAGAAAAGGGAAACACAACAATGTTTGAATATACATATGGAGAAGCACCAACATCAATAATTGAACCATCATTGAATATTAAATTAGATAAGGATGAAAGTAATAAGCAGTCTAGTGTGGATGATAATGTATGCGATTTTTTGCAGTATTTATAACAAAAAAGAGATTGTGTTATTATTTTAAGCATTCTTTACAGACCATTGATTTTGGTAACTTGGATCTGGATAAAGAAATTGATTTTGGTGAAGAAGTTGCTTTGGACACAGGAGGTGTTATTGATTGGGGAGACGAAGGTGCGGAACAGTCTGTTACGGAGGAAATTCATTCTAATATCTCTTTGGAAGAATCGGGTATAGTTGTGGAAACAGTAGGTCATGAAGGTGGTGTAGCTACGGGATCTGAAGCATACACGATACTAGACAATCTAACAACGAGATCCGAATTTATCAATCAACTGTTTGAAGTATAACATAAATATGCATATAAAAAATTGAAAGCTATACATTTTGATCTAAATATATATACGTACTTTTTATAGCTTGAGGCATTTATGAAGTTACGTCTTTATGAATTTAAAGGCGACGATAGAAATAACCTTCTCAGCTTTAATCAGATGGAAGATGCTCCACCGATCCTGCAACTTTCTACTATAGAGACCACTCAAAACATGCTGGATAACGTTCAAGTTATTCTCTCTGAGATATTGCATGACAACGTCCAGCATTTACATAACATCAAACATTATCCAAAGTATGATTAATTAAATATGTAATATATATATATATATATATATATATTTACAGATCTTTAATGTTTGTATATCTTTTGTATATATCACAGATACGTGGACATGGTAATTGTTACTTTAAAGCAAAAATTAAATTTGATTGATAGAATGGTAACCCAACAAAAATCCGTGCTACAAAAGCAAGAAGATACGCAAAATCAAATCGATAAATTACGTCCATTATTGAAACTCATCATACAAAGAACTAAGGAATTGCAAACAGAGGTATGTCACCTTCTTGCAATGTTACAATATCAAATAATGACATATGCTTTATTTTCTATGTTAGACATCACATACGCGCACCTTGCACGCTCCATTTTGCTTTCAATGTTTTTACTTTTCACTATATTTAAATGTTTGAATATTCAAATGCATACAATTAATATTACATTATTACTGTGATGCTATTAATCTCTCGATACACACAACTGTCAAAATATGCAATGATAACTGTTCACGAAGTAAGCACAACAAGAGAACTAATCGGTGTCATGAATAACCAATAGTAATAATAATAAACTTCGATCTTTTAAAATGTCTTAAATAAATGGACTGTATCTATAATTACAGATAGAACAAGATATTTCCAAGAAATACAAAAATAGGACAGTATATTTAACTGGAGGTGTAAATATGTTGTAGGTATCAGTTAAAGAAGAAAAAGATTACTAAATTGTATATATGTATGTATATAACACACGAAGATAGTACTCTTTGCTATTATGCGATATATATAATATTTTTGTTCTTATATTTTAAATGTATTTCCTTGATAAAACAGATTTAAGTAACGGTGGAAAGAACGAGAAAAATAAACATAGATACTGTAATATGATAATTGTTGTTGATGTAGTGCGATCTCTTACATATCCTTAAAGATGTGTTATTTGTAAAAATAATCAGTACTTTCTTTGGCATTCGAATTTTATAGACTTACTCATACAATATACTTTCAAAGAACGTTGTAAAGACATCCAGAGAACTGAGGAAGTATGCTGTATAAGTAAGAATAAAGTTTTTTTTAACGTGGTATGTATAAGTCATGAATTTTAGGCATTACGAGTCATTTCTTGAAAGTTAAATCTTACAAAGTAAAGCAAATTTTTTTATGTTTCTATAAATGTGATTTATGCTATTTCTAAAAAATACGTTTATATAATCATGAAAAGATTCTGCACAAGTCTCCATGGTGACGAGGTACAAACTGCTTTAGTAGTAGGGCAAGGATATCTTTTCAGACACTCTGCTAACGAACGATCGCATTCGCATAAACGTTGAGCACATGATCCTGATCCGCCCCAACTGCCATGCTCAACCGCTGTAACAAAGATTTTATGTAAATTTATTTCATTATATCACTTTTATTTCACGTTTTATTTCATTATATCACTTAATTTATGTATAGCATAAATAAATAAGTCAAGTTTTATTTATAAAAAAGATGTTATATTGGAAATATTTGTTTTTTTAAATGAAGGAAATTGTATTGGCTCATAAGGAAAAGATTAAATGAATAATGATCAATAAACAAACCACAAACAGGTTTATAACCGTGATAACATCTCCAATAATATGGTACAAAGTATTCCGAGAACATATGACATTCCGTGGCGTCGTAACACCAGTCGTGCATCTTGCAGCATCTGGAACATTACGTTACCTTTAATTTATTTCTCATGAAGAAAAACTCGTGGTTGTAAATGATGTAATTGCTTTCCCACGAATAACGTACTGGTCGATACCGTCAATGACATAACCAGATCCTAAGAATCCGCAATAGCAACCATATCCTTTATAAGCTAAAGGATTACATCCCGTAGCGCATACTACCATATTGTAAAGATGTATTACTCCTCTTTTGAATCTCACATGGCTCGTCTCTTTTGCACTTGTTCTGAAATTGCATAATTATGTCAGCTAGCTTAGATAAACATGCATAACTTTTTAAAGACATTTTTAAACAAAAGCTATTTTTTAAAAAAGTTTTTTGAAAAAGCAATATTTAACAAATTGACTTTAACACTGTAATGTGAATACACAACTAGAAAACAAAAGTCTTATATATAGACTCCATAAGAATATTTTATAAAAAACAACTTAAAGAAGAACTTTATAGAAATGTTTTCAAAACTGGTTTTTATAAAATATTTTCATGGAGCATGCTCTATATGTATCAATATTTATAGATATACTTATACATATATAAACAGAGTGTTCGGAATTTGAATGTCAAAACTTCGGGAGTATATAAGGGATCGATAAATTAAAAAAAAGTCCTGTAGAAATATATTCGTTTTTGCTTCGTTTTGGAGAAAATCACAAAGCAAAAAAGATAAAATGAAAGATTGTCACAGTCGGAGTATCGGGAATGTTCCAACTTAAGATCGCGTGCGCACCATTTGTCTTTTCTTATCGTATGGATTCGTAGAAAGAGCTCTGCAATTAGAGGAAATATCATCATTACGAAAGGTGTCAAGTGGTTCACCGCTCAGTGCAATTGACTCGCAATCTACAGACTCGAGTTCAATCCACCTGCGCCTGTACGCGATTTCTTGCATGTAAGGAACCGAAAATGACTCTACCTGATGATCAAGAGATCTATGATCACCAGCGTCATTTGGATCTAAAGTTAAATTAACTCCCATATATCAATATAGATATATTATATCCATATATCAACAATAAATTTAATAGAGTCAGGCTTCAAAAGAATAAATCCAACTAAACAAATTAATGTCAATGAGAGCCGTCACAGCTAGGTTGTTTATGTGAATTAATAGCATTTATTATAAAAACGTATTATATATGTATAAATGTTATGCATATTAATTTGTTTAGTTAGATATATCAATACATGTACATGGCGGTTCCCCGACAATTAGAGATTAGACAGGCCAAGACCCATAAAAGTTGTCTAACCAATAATGATGTGATGATCGTCATTACGAGTAACTATTGAGAGAATAAAAACAATAAAATTAATACAGGGAAATGGTTTCGAATAAAAAGGGGAAATAATTTAGATTATAAAAAGAACAAGGAAGAAAGAAAAAATAACAAATTTAAACGAAAATAATAACGAATGCGATGAGAATTCGAAATTAAATAATAAAGAAAAGAGGGGAAAACTTAATAAATTTAAGAAATTCGGGAAGAATAAAAAAAGAACGATAACAACAGAGAATGTTGGAAATATGACAAGGAGGGTCATTTCCGATTCGAATGTCCTGACAGCGAGGAAAACAAGGAATGGTCAAGCTTTCGCGGGATGAGCTCGACTAGTTTTAGAAGGACGCCTCGAAAAATATTTATTATATTTGTAATCAATGTTCTTGTGATATCAATATGCATAGATTGCATTATGGTCACAACTTTGATTGGGATAATGTCGAGATTTTAGATGTGGAACTTTTCTATAATAAACGCATAATTTCTCATTCTATTTTTCTAAATATTTATATTCTATCATACCATTTATACCATTTATACCTTCTATTTCGAAGAAATTCAAGATTTTACTTTATAAAGAATAATAAAGCAATTCACATAGTTTATACATGCTTAAATAAATTAAGCCAATTTTTCAAGATTACAAAAAAATATTACCCTTCTTCTAAATTAATTTAATATGAAATTAATTGCGAAGAATGTGACGCGTTATATGTAGGATAAATAAGAGACTTAAAGACAAGGATTGATGAGCATAAAAAACATAAATTGGTACATGAAACAGTACTTACAATTAGTAATAACGGAACATCGGATTAATACATCGCATGAATTTAACTGGGACAACGTTTTAATTAGACAAAGAAAACATTTATTACAAGATATGAATTGTCGAAATAATTATACATATACAAAAACATGATACGAAAAAAAAGCCTACATTTATAAAAGAACACCAAATACCTTCGACTTACCATATTTCATGCTATCTTTTAAATATTTTAAGAGACAGCAGACTTTTAACGTTTTTTTACAATTACAGTTACATTTGCATATGATAACTATAGGGTCTCTTCCATGCGTTTTACATATCTTGACTACTGATAAATTGTCATAGAAACGTATCATCTTGAAACTCACAATTAATTGTGCTCATTAATTAATTTATTGCTGTATTGTAATGATATATAATATTAAGATATCTTAGATAAAAATTATTGTTATTTTGTTATAATCATAATGATTTTAGATTGAAAATGGACTGAAGATGACCTAAGATGGAGGTTGAAACGTTTACCGTTTAATTCGATATCAAACTGTTTATCCGACACACTTAATAAAATTTACACATATATATATATATATATATCACATCCAGTGTCAGCTCATTATTGGCATTATTATTGTCTATTTGATCATAAATTGCCATATTACAAATTAATAAACGTTTCTATTATACGTCCGACTTACGCGGATTGAGTTTCTGTGTTGTTCGCTGTCGCGTTGTTCGATGATGTATGTACGTAGATATCCTTGTTATAAATACGCGCTGAGGAAGCACTCCACGGGTTACCACTGTGACCGACGTAGAGGACCTCTTGATTTTCATTTACATCGTTATTCACATATGAATAATCGTAGTCCACCTGGCGCATTCTGGCACCTCCAAGTATCTTATAAACATCTGGCGCACCGTTATCTGTAAGTTCCAAGTGCTGATAGATAGTGTTTAAATAAATAACGTGTTAGTGAAAGAGAAAGAGAAAGATTGCGCACATGACACCTACATACAGTTGTAAAATAGTATACAGTTATAACTGTAGTTTGTCATACTGCGTATTCATTTTATACAATTTTATCAAATACAATTATTTACAATCTTTATTTATCGGAAATTTAGCGGATTATAACTACTGACCTTCTATAATTTTTTACTGTAGTCAATACTTTAAAATTATGGTATACTTTCTACACATAAAAGAGCTACTTTTAAGTGGAGAATATCCTATCAATATCGCCAATTTTCTTTTTAATAATTCTACCGGTTGCACGAATCTGAAAGTGCATGTATTTTTTGTTCTGTCCCGTATACGATACGTAATATGCACACGTTGTACGATCTTTCTCCTAATCACCTGAAACAAGTACTTTACCTAGTACCTTTCTAGACTCGCGTAGCGAGTAAAACTACTCCCATTTATCCTACTTCTGGCCGTTTCTCTACAATTTTCTATAAACGCTGAGGAAATTGTGAGGGATCCACTCTTTTTCGATCATACGATAAATTGCGAAAATTAAACACATGCAAAGGGGTAAACCGTTGAGGGCATATTGCAGTGTACAGATTTCGAAAATATAGGACATTACTTAAAAGAATCGTGTATTATAATAAATAGTATGAAGTTACGCATTATTGAACATTGTAATGCATTATTAAGTTTAAAGGATGTTATTAAGGTATTACTAGGGCATTGATACGTATTACTAGTGGGCATAAAAAATTAGGCATTACTGAGCATTAGTAAACATTGGAGTACACAATTATGGTCAGCGGTTTACGCCTTGAGTTCATTACACGTATAAAAACATAAGGCAGTAAAACGTAAGCAATAAGCGAATCGGCCAGTTACAGAATGTAATGTATTTATAAAGTTTATAATTACATTATTGTTTTACGTCTTCCACTATATGATTGATCGATTTATTTATTGCTTACGTCTTATGTATTTTTATGTGTCTCTCGTTTTATTTTCCCTGATTTCACTTTTTAGATTATCTTTTCTAACAGTCTAGTGAGATATGCAAAATATCTCATATTTCACTGCGCTGGGATTAATGCGTTTCAGAACAGAAGCTCAAAGGAAAAAAGTAAATTTATTTTTCATACATATATTAACTTTACTAAAAAAATCTGATTAGTTTTATATTTTTATAATGAAGTTATTTGTCTATATACTGAAAAAAAATTTTATGTGTTATTAATAAATTCAATATAGCTTTTTATCACCATTTGACATAATATTTACGCAATTATTTTTACAATTATTTAAAAAAATATAATTAAATGATAGGCCTGTGACGTTTTAAACAAACAATACAATAAATAAAAGAGCTAATGAGAATAAGATGCAGATGACAATACGAAAATATATAATACAAGTACGCATAGAAAACCATTACGTCCAATAACATACAAATAAATATTTCCATACGAACAAACCTTCACTTTGAACTATTCTCAGCATTAAAATAAAATTATTAAAACTTCACATCTTTATTTGCACATGGTAAGAATTCCATTCCGTCACAGTCGGTCAATAGGTTGAGTGATTTTATACTTATATTTGTCCTAAAAGTGACTGTACGGAGATTAACTGTTATTATTATATGAGTAAAACTATGAAGATTCACCAAATATATCAGAAAACTGAAGCCCAATTATAATAAGTCATGATAATAATATATGCATAATTTGCAATAATTACAATAATTATTAATATGTACCGTAAGCAAATTTTGACGTAATGAAAATTTCTAAATTCAACTGTACAATACTATGGTCAAAAATTAAATATTCAATATTCTCAGTAACAATGATAAATATAAATAAATATATAGATAAATAAAAACATGTACACTACTTAGCAAAATTAAAGAATTATTTACTCTAATCACTGTAAAAATTTCAAGATAGAAGAACTTCGTCAAAAACTACTGTATCGAGATGTTTGGAAAGGTATTTTATAGCTTGAAATCTCTAAATTTTTTAATTGGTTCTTTATTTAGAAAACTTTTAGTTAGAAAGATTTCATTGATATTTCATGGAGTTACAAAGCATAGAATAGAATAGACTTTAACTCCGAATTTGATTGGGACAATGTTATAATTTTAGATAAAGAACGCTTTAGGTAAACGTCTCATCTCGGAAATGCTGTCTGACTCTCATTAGCGCTTTCATTTATTAGTTTTTTTTTTGCCCAGAACTGAAGTTATTTGGCCAAGAACACGCATAAATATGCATTATTTAATTATCGTTTTTATTTACACTTGTCATTTAAAGCTTTATTTTCTTTTTACATATTTCTAGCAATTATAATTTTAGAGAAAAAAGAAGAAAATATATATCTATATTTACTTTTATAATTTCCTCTAATAGAAATCTTATGATTATATAATACAATTTTTTTATTAGGAATACATAATATAAATTATATATTATATAAGAATATATTATAATTTATTTTAAAAGTATATAAACATATCTCTTTCTATAAAAAATTAATGAAGCACGTATTCTTTAAATCATCAATGAATTTGTTATCGAAAAGGAAGCATATAATATAATGAAAATGGATATTTTGGAAGGAAATAATATTAACAATATTAGCATTTATCTCTAAAAGAGATAGAATAGAGCGGAGCTATTCCACCAGTTTTAACTTTAAAGTAATACGAAAATTTTCGATGGTAATCTATTTGCAGTGACGTGTTTATAATTACATTATACGATCTGCGATCATGATTGCTACTAAAGAGCACAAGCACAACCTTTGAATAACATGTTCAGAAACATAAATACAATTATATTGTCGCAAAAAATGGACAAAAAAGCCATGTTCTATATCTTACATAATGCATAATATTTCTTCGATATACATGAAATTTTTAAAAATTTACACTTACAAACGCATCAAGAATGGAAGCACATCCTTTTTGGAAACGAGTATTTCCCATTTATCGCTCTTTCTTTATTATAATATAACCAATTCCATCCTGAATTTCTATTTTTTACGAAATCTCGTCGAGAGACGAACTAATATATGTTTAAAATATTTGTTCGCGTTTTGGTTCACTACCCACGAGTAGATACCTCGATAAAAAAGTAAGTACGTTTTTATGTAGATATACAGCGAAATTAGTAGATTTTTGGAAGAAGTATGCATTTCGCTAAATTTGATGAGAAATCCGTGTATTCAGTATGATATTACGTTTATTTTTTAATGATACACATATATGTAGAAGTCATTGATACGTACGTAGATATATAATATTTAAAATAATTATACTTTAATTTTAAAATTATTTTCAGAATTATATCAATTGTATAGTAAATATATGAACAAAAGTAAAAAAAAGTGCTATACTGAGCTCATAATTACAAATTAATTGATTTCTGATCTCAATAAGAATTACGCGATATTGCATAATTCTTATTAATACATGCAATATCTTATTTCCTCGTAATAGTTCCTTCCTTGATAGAGGTGTTTTGCTATGTCCATGAAATAAAAAAAAAATTCAATAATCGTGAAAGGTAATTCAACGGGCAAATGCAAACTTCAAATCCATTACGTAATGTTAAAATGTTCTAAAAAGAAGAAAAAGTAGTTTGAATCTTGCCGAATGTAAAATCAGAATTGTTGTATTTATAAATAAAATAAATAATAACTTTCATTATAAATATACTTGTAATTAAAAACGTTTTCAATCACATTCAAAGTTTCATATATCTCCTGAAACTTTTAGTATGGAAGATGATATATCTAATTGTAAGTCCATCATTACTTACAAAATCACAATAGTGTAATCGTTGTAATGGCAATAGATTTAATTAACAGAATACATATACGTAGAAATATTATAGTTAGATTACTGTGATGAATTACATACTATAACTGTACGCATTTGTTATACATGGTCGATGTGTCTTGGAGAGGAAAATTGAGAGACTAAATAACCGTTTTATCGTTCATCTCTTTTGCGGTCGAAATTGCTCAACGACAAATAAATTGAGATTGTGAAATGAAACGGTATGATCAAATTGTAGCTTTTAAAGTTTCCATGGTAACAATAAACGATTGGCGTCATAATACTTCGTAACGTTAATTAATCTCAGTCTCTACAATCTACGAAACGCAATCTTTTTTGCTTGCGGTTTCCATGGCGCAGCCACGTAAAAATTTAATACATCGATTTTCTCCCTTGAAGTAATGAAGAGCGTGGGCGAGTGAAGCATGGAAGTCAGCTTTAATCGTCCATCAAACGGAATTATATCGCAAACATTCGATTTCTAGAAAAGATTTAATTAACAGAAAAATACTCACCCGCAAAAAAAAATATGAATCACTTTACAGTGACCTATTTTTTGTGGAGGTATGTAATATAAAATGTTAAAAAAGTTTTGTTAAAAAAATAAAATTAAAGCTAAAAATATTTGCTTAACGAAACAAATTTCGCTCTTTGGAAATCATGTGAAGCTCGGATTTTCGAGTGCTAAATTATTATTGAGACATTTAGGAAATATTTATAAAATTTAGTAATAATTTTCTTTATTATATATAACTGGAATGGAGGGAATGATTTTGAGACGAACGAAAGGGTCTGTATTTATTATTCACGTTGATGTATCCGATAACTGTGAAATTTCATTAGGCACAATAATTATGCTTGTGCTACTTTCATCATTGTGAATGAAGTTATCTCGCGAGTCGCTTGATTTGAATAAGTATCGCATCATCAGCAACGTTGTGTGAACAGACTTAATTAAATATCGCTTTCGCTATTTTTTAGATCTAATTCAATATATACTTACTTTCTTAAAAGATTCGTGTGCGATATATTTGTGGTGCTAATTATGATAAAGTTTCATGAGCGTGTGATTAAAATAACGATTAAATTATTAGCAAGAGACAACAATGCAAGTAATAATTTTCCACGTGAGAAAATGAAATTTGACAATGTTTGTCTTATAATGCATGATTTACAATATTTACATTAATGAGAAAAAAGTGAAATTTGCTAAGAAGGTACTATAGAAAATATTAATAAAATTTTTTTCGTAATTCTTTTTTCCATATACGAAAAAAAAGGAAAACAAAATATATATATATATTTTACTTATTAAGTCATATTAGGCATATATATACATATATATATATATATATAGTATACATATCCAGTATTACCTAAAAGTTATATTTTGTTTATTTTTATTGTACTCATGAAAATGTTTTATATTTTTTGTAATGTTCAAAATAAATATTTTCTTTAATCATCAATTTTCAATTTTGGAATCAGCAAAGATTAGGAAAGAAATGATACAATTTAGGCCATGTAGGGCCTGATTATCTTATCGAAAAAAAAATGGTTTTTTTAGACCCTTCTAGAAAAGTAGTCGTGCGTAACAGGAAGACAAATCTTGTCGAGCAAAATGCTCACCTCGGGCATCACAGCCGAGCAGCATTTCGAACAGCAGGAGAACGCATAGGATTCTTTCGCGCCAACGCCAACGAGGCGATCGATCCACTCGTAGCGGATCGCGGCCACGTGCGACGTCGAATCTTTCACGGCACATCGAGGCACGTTTTCATCGAGCAGATTGGGCTCGATCCTTACGTGTCACCTGCGAATCATCTTCAGCACATCCGACGTGGTAGCGTTGCTTTCCACGTGTCGCCACATTGAAGAAATTACAGCAACGGGCATCCGATTGCACGGCTTCTCCGTTTTATCGGCACCGCAATTGTTGATTAACACCGCAATTGGAGATTCACTTATTTGATGTAATCGACGTAATTTGAGAGATCGCGAATTATCATCATCACTGGTACTACCACTGCGTGCTATCAATAATCCAGATCGTCCAACGGATCAATTAGAGCTTACAACATCGTCCTTTTGCCGGCAGCATTTTCCGCAGTCAAATAACAAATAAAAGATACAAACCAGTCACTATTATTCGAAAAAGGTCATCATATATAGCCACTCCCATACGACACAAAGGGCGTTTTTCTCGCGTCGAGCTGCGTGGGTTTTATATTGAATCCCCCGCGATTCGAGAGATTCAATGATGTACTACCTGTAGGTTTTTGTATTCCATCGCGTAGGTATGCACACGAAACACAAAAAGGCTCGTCGCTTTGCTGTGATTGAATAAGTTAATGTGTCATCTCGATTTCATGTGTTATGTGACTTACGTTATTACACGATATTATTTTACAAATAAATTGCACACAAAGTAATCTTTGAGTTTCTTAAAATTGTTCATTATCGCGAGTTCGATTATTCGCATTCCTTCTTCGATCGCAAAATGTACATAATTCCCTTTTTGTTTTGAGGATGGTTTTTAGAATTTTTAAACTTCGTTTAAACTGCTCCGATGTTGCGGTTTGTATTTTAAACTTTTTCACGCAACGAAGATCCACTTCGACGAGAGACTGACAATATCAGTTTTTATCAAGCAGCACTCCTACACAATGTTTTCTTTTGTAGACATTCTTAGGTGCACTGGGATTTCAGATATACCACTCAGTTCAACTCGGTATGACCCCGAGAAAGTTCATTGGGATGAATTGTGTGCTCGACTCGAGGAGTGTGTCTTCGTTGATTCCCGCCGTCGCACTGCTATCTAGTCTTCTTGGCCTAGCGAATCTCTGTGCTGTTACACTTTTATTGGAGAAGGAGAAGAACAAGAGAGATTGTTAGAATTTGCTACTGACTTTGCGTTGATCTTTAATCTTCATTTTCTTCCCCGCTCTAAATTCAAAGAACAAAGAGTGAACCCGAAAGTAAATCCGGAACGACGCGTATTCCGGATTTGTTTTTCTTCATGCTGAATACCGCGTGTGAAATCGACGTTGTAATGTCATAATGTTTATCTATAAGAAAAAGTCTTGTTGCATAAATTAGATTATTCGAAATCTGATAGTTTCTCTCTTTCAATCAGAAAGATAAATCTACCAAATATTCTGATTGATCTTCAATTGGAAATTCAACGATATTCTGATTAGTATACGATCAGAATACATTTTGTTTATACTTTTTGTAATACAACCAAATATTTTTCTCACAATCAATATTGGATCGAATACCTTGCTACGGTGAAGGAAAATTGTATAATTGCTGTGACGTTATTATTATTATTATTATGACTTAATGATGTTGAAGTGTATAATTTACAGATTTAAAATTAATAAAACATTTCGTATACTTATTATAAGTGACGTACAACGCGTTATGACGTCAATCTTATCTTTATTATCTAATATTAACTAATTTTCTTACGTAATTTTCAATTTTCAAAATATAATAGAAATATATATTTCTCAATATATTTATTTCTTATATATGTGTGTGTGTGTTTGCCTTTTATATAAAAAATATATCCCAAAATGCTGGATTGTTTTTTCAGTAACAGATTCTGTGGAACATTCTAATTCTTACATAAAAATATCAAAGGTACAATCATTTTCAAATCATAAACTGTATATTAAAGTTAATAAGTTGTAGCATCTGAAAATTGCGTACTTTAGGGATAGAACATCGTACTAAACCTTTACATATTTATTCGTTAAATATATACTGATATAATTGAGATTTTTATTATCTGTTTATCATTGTATGTCTTTTCATCGTAGTATGTAAAGTTGAAGCGCATACTGCAAAATTTCCTTAATTGATAAAATTCAGTTTCTCATTAAAGCGCTATTGATTTATAAATTATTAATGCTTTAAAATAAGAAATCAAATTTCGATAGTTCAGGCATTTTGCAATAAGTGTTTCAATTACGTCAATATTTGACAAGCGCGGCGAGTCAATGTATAGGAGCCCCGTACAACATTTCTCCTTTACTATAATTGATTAATCGTTTTGTAATTTAAAAACTATTGTAACCTCGACACATGCACACACAACATTTTCATATAAGAGTTTTGTCTTAGAATGTCCTACAAAATCTGCCAGTGAAAAAATATCCAAACATTTTGAGACGCCTTGTATATTCAAAGTACATATATTACATAAAAATTTTTTTTAATATTAGAAAGTTTGTAAATACGGTAGGTGGATTTAATATTCGTTTATACATTAAAAATAAAGATCTCAATCGTAATTAGATATAATATCACTAAAAGAATTAGATATCACTAAAATGTTTAAATTTTAAAAAATTTCCCTTTTGTGATTTTCAACTAAAAAAGCATCACCTTCTAATGGAATTGAGATGTAATAGAGGTAAAGGCGAGATTAAAGTGCAACAGGTTATCCTTGCAATTTTAATTAGCAGTACGTATTATCAGTTAATTCAAAGATAACACTTATATATACACTTGTATATGTATATATATATATATATAAGTAAAATTTACGGTCGTTTATTTGTCTACAAACGTAATGTGTATATTATATGTATAGGAAAAATAGGTTTGCTAAAGTATATCTATAAGAGTTTAGCTAAAAATCTTCAAATCTGAAAATAATTATGTTGGATCATCTAAATAATAGCTAAATAACAATTATATTTTGGATGCTCAAACTATTATACAATAATTGCTAAAATATTAAAACTTTTTGCAGTATTATCTTTATATTTGATTCTCCTATATAATTATTTTAATAGTCTAATATAATTATCTTTAGGTATTTGACCTAATTTTTATAAACTTCAATAAAATCGTTCTTTTCACGTAATGAACATATATTTATACTTGTTACGGATCGCAATGTTTTCTATCAATTATTGTTATATAAAGTATAACATTCATGCAATCGCAAATCACAAAATGTAACATATAAATTTATAAAACGTTGAAAGCTAATACAATATATTATTTAATTTTTTAGATACATTATTTAGATACAATACATTATTTAAATTAAAAAAAATATAGTTTTACACAGTTGCATTAATAAATTGTACACGTTCCTGCAAATAGAATATCGAAACTAAATTTACAGTTTCATATAATACAAAATAACTGATTGAACTTTTTACTTGTTCGGTTTGTTATTTATTTTTAATATTCTCATCAAATATGTTTTAATTCGAAAAATCCCGAGTTTATAAATAATTCTCAACGTTCCTCTTTAGAAACATGTTTTTTAAACGCGCCATGTTTCACCGAATTCTATGACAGAAGTCATAACGAATTGCACATTCTTGCGAGATTTTCATAAGCGATCTTCTTAGTTCTTCAATTGAGTTATCCTATCGAGCGCAGCATATGATTGCAGTGCGTAGGATCGTAATGCAAAGGAGGTTACTTTCTACATCAAGGCACAGCATGGGATTCTTTGACGGTCTACGATTTATGCACAGCTCAGTCAGCCCAATAGTCAGGGATACCTTCGTCATTATAGCTTCTCACGCGGGTACATCGCGAGATTCATCGCCGCCGGGCAGTCTGAGAAATTACGCGAAAAGTATATTCACCGGTTGACCGACTGACTGGCCTAACATTGGCGAGGAACAGATAGGAGATTGGTTCTTGGTTTTTTACAACTGTTCACCACGACGAATGCAGATGTAGCGGTACCGCCGTTGCTGCACGCGACGACAATGCGGCACAATCTCGTCCGGTTATGAAACGATGCATAGCAGAATTCTGATTAGCGTGATAATCGAATAAAGTACAAAAGCATCGTATGATACGAGAAACAGAGAGAAAAAAGCGCGGAGCGCAGCGAAAGAGGAAACGAATGTGTTGCGGAGAATGTGATACCAATTGTTGCACCGTTAATTGTTGCCCGAGATTTAATTGGTGTTGGTAAAAAATGTCGTGGGAGGCGATCATTCGCGTCGTTACAATGAGGTTGATTGTATCGTTATTCACTGAACAATAAATCGTGATTATATAGTTTTGTTGTAATGAGAGTCATTTGTATAATGCACAATACGAATGAAAGATTTTTATTCGGAGAAGAAAATCTTGTTTTTATTTCGATTTTTTAATATTATTAATGCTATACTCTATTTTTCGACAAAAAAGATATTCATAAATATGAATATTTTTCGCATGTACGTCGAATTTGACAAAGAATAAAAACTAACATAAATGAGAGACAACCAATGAAATAAAAAACTCTAATGAAAAAAATCAAAGAATGTAAATAAAATGCTTATGAGAGCTAACGCAAGCTGTGTAACAATATTTTTATTCGATATGACAATAATATAATAAATGTTTCAACCCTTGATTAGTATTATTGATAGAGTTAACAATCGTACAAGAATTAAAAAATGTTATGTTTAGTCTATGACAATTTTACATAGATTATACATAATTTCATATAAAAATTGATCGTGTACCATAAAAGCATTTCGTTCAACATTTGTTCAATTGAGTATTCATCAAATTTTTAGGTTTCATGAAATAACTAAGATCAGTTTTAGATGATAACAATTTGTATACTAAAGACAACTTTGTGTGAGAAAGAGAGAGAAAAGGAAGAAAGGGAGAGTGGGAAGAGGGTGGAGAAAGAGAGAGGGGAGGGGTGGAAGAGAGAGGGACAG